GACCACAATGTGGTCAGGCCGGCAGTAGGGACCGGCATTTCATGACCACAATGTGGTCAGGCCAGCAGTAGGGACCGGCGTTTCTCGACCACAATGTGGTCAGGCCGGCAGTAGGGACCGGTGTTTCATATGACCACAATGTGGTCAGACTGGCAGGAGGGGCCGGCATTCCATGACCACAATGTGGTCAGACCAGCAGTAGGGACCGGCATTTTATGGCCACAATGTGGTCAGGCCGGCAGTAGGGACCGGCATTTCATGACCACATTGTGGTCAGACCAGCAGGGGGGACCGGCATTTCATGACAACAATGTGGTCATGCCGGCAGGAGGGACCCGGGTCGACTAACCCGACTACTTTATTTTGAGACGAGAAATCGGAGAATTCGGAAGGTGTTTCGGCCGGGTTAGAGCTTGCCCGACACACTCGACGCAGCCTCGTCGGGTAGGGTGAAGACGGCAGCGCAGTCGGGCAAGCCGGAGAGGAGTTAACCCGCCCTATTGAGAACACCAGTCTCCAGATTGTCTCCACAACGGTATTGGTAATGCTCTGGGAGCCTGTAGCAACCTATCCGGTGAAATCCCCAACAAAAATTTTCACCCAGATATCAAATAAATTGAGAAGAACTGAGACCTGCCAAAAAACGTCCTCCGCCATCTTGGATTTTTTCGGCCCATATGCCCTACAGCCTAAACTGCTCGTCGCACAAACTTGTGGCTGGTACCACTGAGTGCGCAGGGGTCGACTTTGGGGGGGTCTACTTAAGGGAAAAAATCGCTAGGAAGGACCTACCCCACACAAGTTGGTTAAACAGCCCCCAACAGAGATTCGTCGTGGGAGTAACTTGAGCGTTTAGTGTCGCCCCCCCCCCTTTACCACGCGCTCTAGGTCTACCTGCCGCAGTGGATTTTGTGCCTGCCTAGCAGTCATCTATGAGCCTACACGACTTGTCAACCGTGCTTGCTGATGTGGCAACAGTGTCTTCAAAGGTTCTAAATTGTGCTGAATATTTTGCATAATTTGGGAATTTCGTTCTACGCAAAAGTGCAAAAAGTGTGTTTAATCAAAAACGTGCAGAATGCAAAATTCATTTTGCATGCTTTTGCACTTTGGGTGCTAAATTGTCTCGTGCAAAATTGGATTTTGCCCTGGTGCAAAATATTTAGTCTGTGCAATATATTGTGCACCGCAAAGTGTAGAATATTTAATTTAATTTAGTGTGCCAGCCCTGCGTCCGAGAGGGCCGCCAAGTGGGCCAAGTTGAAGGAGGACCGCATCAGCATCGGAGTCTGCGCCAACGCCACGGGGACGCAAAAGCTGCCCCTGCCTGTCATCGGAAAGGGTCGCCACCCTAAGTGCTTCCATCACTTCAAGGAGATCGCCGAGCTGCCCGTCGTCTACACCCACTCCAAGAAGGCGTGGATGAACGCGGTGCTCTTCGAGAAGTGGTTCGCCTGCGACTTCAAGGAGGCAGTCACCAAGAAGCAGATGCGAGAGGGTCGTGTCGGCAAGGTTCTTGACAACGCCTCTTCCCACATGGTGAGCGAGTGCGTCGTCAGCTCGGGGCGCTTCACCATCAAGTTCCTGCCACCAAACACCACCAGCCCATGGACCAGGGGGTCATCGCCAAGGCCAAGAGGCTCTACCGGCGCAGCATGGCGATGCGCTATCTAGCGTTCCCCGTCGACTTCGAGCAGTTCTACAAGACCATCAACGTCAAGGAGGCGTCCCTCATGATCCACGCGGCGTGGGAGCAGGTTACGGAGCAGAACGTCAGCAGGGCCTTCAGGAAGCTGCTCCCCACCATCAGCAACAACATCGAGGTGCACCCTGACGAGCCGTCCGAGCCCACCCAGCGCGCCGAGCTCGAGAGTCTGGGTGATGTTCTGCGCCAGCACGAGGACATGATCGCCCTCGGCAACGACGACCTCTGGGGGTGCTTCAACGACACGCACGTCGCGGAAGCAGTCACAGACGATCCCGAGGAGGACGGCGAGGAAGACGACGGGGGCCTCGACGACCCTACTGGAGACTTGGTTAGTCTTGTTCTAATCAGAAGCCAAGTCCAGGACAAGCCGTGGGCTGCCGACTTCGAGGCAGCCATCAGCAGGGTCATCAACAGCAGCAGCAGGAGCGGCAGTGCACCAGCTGCTCGCCGTAGTCTGCAGCTTCTTTAAGTTAAATTGTAAACGACTTGTCTTTCTTTGACAGAAATCATGACCATTGGTTTTTGACAACCTTTTAATGGTGGCCGCAATGCTTTTGAGCATATGCGCGGTGGTTGCAACCCCTCACAAAACCAGAGCGAAAGGCTTTAATAGATTGTTTATAAAATGTTTATTTCGAAAATAAAAACAGTTACACTGTATGCCTGCTTCTTGTTTGTTGTCATCCCAATCCTCCTGATATCCGGGAATCACGCCCCTCGCTCTGAATCTGCCCGGGCCACGGGGTCACACGCACAGGGGCCCCGGCCGTGCGCACTGCAGGCCCCGCAGCCCTTCCGCGGGAAACCCGGCAGAAACAACACGCAGGTGTGCGACAAACACGTGGTCACGTAGCAGGACTCAGGTTCGTGATCAAGAACTCACTGTACGAATGCATTTCAGTAAACATACACAATGTATTTTACAGTCGTTAACCGCAAAGCAGTTCAAACTGTGCTCGCCATAGACGTTTTCACTATTAGTTGTCGAATAACGGTTAAAAACCTAAAAATTGAAGTTTCGACATGCCGTTTGGACGTAATTTCATCGTTTAGAGCAGACTGTTACCATGATATGAACATACAGAACGTTTTTCGAACAGTACCCAATTTGATCGGAACAGGCAAACGCCCCGCCTTAGACCTCTCTCGGCCGGTCACCGGAGAGCCCCGCCTCGCCGCGCCCCGAGCCACGCCCAGGAGCGGTACCCGGTCCCTACCTGGGGTTTCTTGATTACGGTCCGTCGCCAAAACGCGGAACCAAATCAAGGAATGACTACAAATCAAGCCCTCCGGCTGAGAGGTACCCGGTGGATAGTAGAACAACCCCCTGGAAGCCCAGGATTTGTACCACCCGGGTTTAGGTGAGACGGCGTTTTGAAATCTTCAAGAACGGCTCTAATTTAAAGGCCGTTCTTTGCCTCGCGATTTCTCGTAAACGTTGGTGGTTCAAATCGAGCCCTTCACCTCAAAGGTACCTGGTGGGTAGTGGAACAACCCCCTGGAAGCCCAGGATTTGTACTACCAGGGTTCAGGTGAGACGGCGTCTCGAGATCTTCAATAACTGCTCTAAGTCAAGGGCCGCGTTTTATCGCGCTATTTCTCGTAAACCTTGGTGGTACAAATCAAGCCCTCCTGCTGAGAGGTACCCGGTGGATAGTAGAAAAAACTCTGGAAGCCCAGGATTTGTACTACTAGCGTTTAAGTTGTACGGCCGGAAATTCTGGAAAAACCGCTAGATGGCGTCGCTGCACTTTTCTGCTCGGTTTTCGCTTTTGGAGTTTATCCAACGAAATAATTTTTTGGGTTGTGTGGTAGCATATTCTTTGATGATGTTTTGTATTTAAAAAAAGGCGAATTTTTTCGAAAAAAATTCTGGCCAGGATTTTTCCTGGCCAACTTTATCCCGGTTACTTTCACATGTTTCCCGTAGGAGGCAATAAAAACAAGCTGGGCCCGCTCTTCCGCCAAACCAAGTTGCCAGCTCCGCTTCGCTCCACCGGCAACTCGGTTCGGCAGGGAGCAGGCCCAGCTTGGCCTGCCGGCGGCGTTTGGTACGGGCCTTCGGCCCGTCCCTTCTGAATGTTTTTGGTGTAATACATCTTTTATCCGAAAACGGGCCTTCGGCCCGTTTGAGTGACGGCTCGCTTCGAACCATCTTTTTGCCAGGTACCTTTTCTGTCTACTTCGTAAGTAAAACTCAACAAACGAAGTATTCTTTTCATACGCTGAACATCTTTGGCTGTGTGTGCAGTTTGTAGAATACATGCAAGTTATGCCGAAATTTTAAGTTATTGATGTTAGCTTACGAATCCAATAACACACCTATGAAGATGTACATAAGACTAGACCTAGAAGTTAAATATACTTCCAGGCATACTCTGAATGACACCGAACGTGTTCAAACAACAAAAAACTAAATGTGTTTTTTTTTTTGTGGTTTTTTTAGCATTAAAGTGTACACGTTTTATTAATGATGTGCCACCATAAAATAAGCCCACTCTTCTGCTTAGAAGAAAATTTTGAACCGGCCGCATACTTCTCAGACAGAAGTGTACTTCTGAAAAAGTAAAAATATTTCTGTTTTGGCCATTTTGGTGAGAGAAACTCCCTCTATCGCCTAAACGGTGAGAGATAGAGCCAAACGGACGAAATTTTAACCCGCAGGTCTGTATTTTCAGAAGTTACCCCCTAGGAAACCATCAAACATTTTCTAAACTTAATATATTGTTTCGGGGTCACTTTGGCAGAAAAACTCCCTCTAGCGCCTAAACGGTGAAAGAAAGAGCCAAACGGACGAAATTTTCGCCCATAGGGCTCTACTTTCCCAAGTTACCCCTTAGAAGACAATAAAATAAATATTTTTTTTCCACTTCTTGGACCAACTCCTATTTCTTTGTTACCCCCTCAGACCCACTCAGGGGTGGTTGCCAGGATTTGCACCAACCGTTTCGTTGTCCAGAAGTGACAACAATAATACCCTGAAAATTTTAGACCTCTAGCTCACGTCCTTCTTGGGGAACGGACAGACGGACAGACAGACAGACAGACAGACAGACAGACAGACAGACACAGTAGCGATGGCATAAGCCCGCTTCTATAGCTTTTAAGCAAAAGAGCGGGCTAAAAATATATTACTTTCCTACTTTCTGGACCAACCCCTATTTCTTTGTTACATCCTAAGACCCACTCAGGGGTGGTTGCCAGGATATGCACCAACCGTTTCGTTATCCAGAAGTGACAACAATAATACCCTGAAAATTTCAGACCTCTAGCTCACGTCCTTCTTGAGGAACAGACAGACGGACAGACAGACACAGAGGCGATGCCATATGCCCGCTTATATAGCTTTTTAGCCCGCTCTTTTGCTTAAAAGCTATATAAGCGGGCTTATGCCATCGCCTCTGTGTCTGTCTGTCTGTCCGTCTGTCCGTTCCCCAAGAAGGACGTGAGCTAGAGGTCTGAAATTTTCAGGGTATTATTGTTGTCACTTCTGGACAACGAAACGGTTGGTGCAAATCCTGGCAACCACCCCTGAGTGGGTCTGAGGGGGTAACAAAGAAATAGGGGTTGGTCCAGGAAGTGGAAAAAAAAATATTTTTTTTATTGTCTCCAAAGGGGTAACTCGTGAAAGTAGAGCCCTTTGGACTAAAATTTCGTCCGTTTGGCTCTATCTCTCACCGTTTAGGCGCTAGAGGGAGTTTTTCTGACAAAAGTGGCCCCGAAACAATATATTAAGTTTAGAAAATGTTTGATGGTTTCCTAGGGGGTAACTTCTGAAAATAAGACCTGGGGTTAAAATTTCGTCCGTTTGGCTCTATCTCTCACCGTTTAGGCGATAGAGGGAGTTTCTCTCACCAAAATGGCCAAAACAGAAATATTTTTACTTTTTCAGAAGTACACTTCTGTCTGAGAAGTATGCGGCCGGTTCAAAATTTTCTTCTAAGCAGAAGAGTGGGCTTATTTTATGGTGGCACATCATTAATAAAACGTGTACACTTTAATGCTAAAAAAACCACAAAAAAAAAAACACATTTAGTTTTTTGTTGTTTGAACACGTTCGGTGTCATTCAGAGTATGCCTGGAAGTATATTTAACTTCTAGGTCTAGTCTTATGTACATTTTCATAGGTGTGTTATTGGATTCATAAGCTAACATCAATAACTTAAAATTTCGGCATAACTTGCATGTATTCTACAAACTGCACACACAGCCAAAGATGTTCAGCGTATGAAAAGAATACTTCGTTTGTTGAGTTTTACTTACGAAGTAGACAGAAAAGGTACCTGGCAAAAAGATGGTTCGAAGCGAGCCGTCACTCAAACGGGCCGAAGGCCCGTTTTCGGATAAAAGATGTATTACACCAAAAAAATTCAGAAGGGACGGGCCGAGGCCAAGCTGGGCCCGCTCCCTGCCGAACCGAGTTGCCGGTGGAGCGAAGCGGAGCTGGCAACTTGGTTTGGCGGAAGAGCGGGCCCAGCTTGTTGGCTGAGCGATTAGCGAAGCCTATTACTCCAGTGATGATCAAAAAGTTTCGCGTCTGTCTGTCTGTACGCACGATAATTTGAAAACAGTTTGAGCTAGGAGACTAATTTTTATTGTGGCATTGTATCATAAAAAGAAAGAACTGTATTGATTTTTTGGCTCAAAAATTAACGTGCCAAAAAAATCATAAACAAAAAGCTCAAAACATTTCTTTAGGAAAATATTGTTTTTACAAATTTCTTAGAGGTAACTTGTCACAGTACAACCCTTTGGACCAAAGTTTTGCCCGTTTGGCTCTCTCTCTAACCGTTTGGGCTCCAGAGGGCGTTTTTCACACGGAAATGACCCTAGATTAGATTAGATTATATTAAACGCATCCTAGGGGCCACAGTCTCGACTGTTAATCTCGGTATTTTTTGCCCCCGGCAGGGTACCCCGACGCGTACGGCTAGAAAAGAAAGGGTTAGCGGGGGGGGAGCTCCACCCAGACCAGATTGCCCGCCTAAGAGCGCGACACAAGGTCCCCATGGAATGGGGGGGTGGGTCCCAAAGTAGGCTGCAGGGGAGAAAGAGCAATTAAATCAAACAAGCAGTGCACTGGGAAGGAGAGCAGGCAGGATAGGTTCTCAGCAGAAGGCGAAGCAGTAGTGTAATGCAGGGGCGGCCGGGGGAGGAGGCAGAACGGTATCCGGGGAGGTAGGTCCCACAGGGAGGGGACCTCGCCCCGGCGTTCTGGACTCCCCCTGCGCCGGTCTTGCTGGGGAAGAGATGAAGTGGGCGCAGGTCGTCGGGCCTGGGAACGGTAGCCGATAAGGGGGGGCTCGAGGGGGGCCGCGACGCCGCGGCGGCCGGGCCCGGAGGCACGCGACGTAGGGGAGGGTGGCCCCGCCGGTCCACTTGTGGACGTGGAGACTCGGTAGGCGGCCCTAGGCTCCTGGTGCACCGTGCCCCCCGAACAGGGAGCGTCCAAGAGCGCGCCGGGAAGAACCGCAAAGCCTGCAAAATACCTGTCAGAAGCTGGGAGGAAGCGGGTGTTAGGTATGGCGGTGAATGCAAGAAAGCCAGGCGAAGCAAGCGAAGCGAGCGAAGCAGAAGCTGGATGGGCATGCCTAACGGACCATCCTTGGCCTACGCGTTCGGAGTCTTGCGGAAGCGGGATCAGTGCACTGCCATGCATTAATTACTCTGGTCAGCCCCTGCCCGCCCCCCCCAGGGAGTATCGCGCGAAGACATGCCTCCACGAGCCCACTGGCTAGTCCAGTAAAGCCCGCACCCCCCCACACGGAAATGACCCTAAAACATTTTAATGTTAACCCTCAGATATTTGATGGTTTCCGGTGGAGTAACTAATCAAACTGATATACATCGAGGGACAAAATTAGTGACTTTTGGGGCCGAAGGCCTATTAACGACTGTGCCCTTTGTCCGACTCGGGTGTCGGCGCCGCAGGCCTAGGTAGATGTATGCCAGGCGCGTCGCAGCGTAACAGTGTTTCGTGAGATGTCGCGAAGCCTGTTACCCAAGACGTGGTCTGGCGTACATCTACCTATAGTTGGCTGAGCGATTAGCGAAGCCTATTACTCCAGTGACGATCAAAAAGTTTCGCGTCTGTCTGTTTGACTGTCGTCACGATAACTCGAGAACAAATTGAGCTAGCGACCTGGGATTTTCAGGGTCGTTTTGTGTCATAAAAAGACAGATTAAGTTCGAAGAAGAGCATTCTAGCTCAAAAATTGGATTAAAAAAAAATCAAAAACCACAGGTCCCCAAAATGACTTTTTAAAAAAAACATTTTTGACTGTTTCCTTAGGGGTAATTCATCAAAGTAGAGCCCTGTGGGCGAAAATTTCGTCCGTTTGGCTCTATCTTTGACCATATAGGCGCCACAGGGAGTTTTTGACGAAAACAAGCGAAAAAATGTATAACCCTGCATGCTTAGCCGAAGTGACGGGAAGTTGACGGGCCAGAGGCCCGTATCTTTGTCTACATTTTTGCGCTACCCGACTCGGGTGTCAGCGCCGCAGGCCTAGGTAGATGTATGTCAGGCGCGTCGCAGCGCAACAGTGTTTCGTGAGATATCGCGAAGCCTGTTACGCGAGACGTGGTCTGGCGTACATCTACCTAGTTTTATGGAACGTCATTTATGAGACCTGTTGTTTTTGATTTTGTAAAAATCCAATAAAGCAGTCCGGTAAACCTGAAATGCAGAAGAATGTAGGGAAGAAGAAGAAGACGGAAATCGTTATGCTTCAACATGGTGACTTCCGTTTTCTTCTTGTCGCAGTCTTCTGCAAGAGAGTCAATCGACAGTAGTTTCAGTGTCCGTTTCTTGTGGACATGAAGCAGCATGCAGTGTGAGATGGCCATGGTCTCCCATATGCTTGAACGCGGTGAACGCAAGCAAGGGTTTGTTATACGTCTCAACACACTGAATGACCACTCACATGATGAGCCACCTCACAATGCCAGTTAAATCCTCGACTTTCCAAAAAATCTGGAGGTTTCGGGAAAACCTTTCTTTCTCCCTATTATATTTTGGAATAGAGCATTCCGGTAAAGCCCATATGCAGAAGAATGCGAGGAACAAGAAAACGGAGGTCACCATGCTAAAGTATAGCGATTTCCGTTTTCTTCTTCCCCGCATTTTTCTGCATTTCAGCTTTACCAGAATGCTTTTATTCTAGGGGTAGGGGGGGGGGAGTTGCCCCCTTCCCCCTTGCACCCCACTTCCGACGGCCATGACCAGATAGAGTAATAGGGTATTTCATCCAGTTTAAACCGGATCCGAAGAACAGTAATGCTACCTGAACTGTTTCCACCCTGACGCTTATAGGGTACTCCGGGGCTCGGCTAGACCGAAAGGTGAAGAACAAAAATCGTCGGGCGCGGGGAGGGGCGCGGCAGGGTAAGGGCAGTACCCCGCTCCTCCCCGCGCCCGACCGGCCCGACGATTTTTGTTCTTCTCCTTCCGGTCTAGCAGAGTCCCGGAGTACCCTATTGGCTGACGCGGACGAAGTTCTCAGACTCGCCACTAGGGTAGTCGCAGACCAGGTGGCGGGTCCGCGAAGTTCGTCCGGACCAGCCAGTCTGGGACAAAACAGTTCGTGAAGCATTGGTGTTCTTCTTTTGACCCGATCTAAACTGGGTGAAATACCCTGTAGGCTTCGCGATAGGGTATAAAGCATTCCGGTAAAGCTGAAATGCAGAAGAATGCGGCGAAGAGGAAAACGGAAATCGCTATGCCTTAACATGGTGACTTCCGTTTTCTTCTTCCCCGCATTCTTCTGCATTTCAGCTTTCCCGGAATGCCTTATTCCTTAACACCGTTAGATCCGTTTTCCTTCTACCCCGCATTCTTCCTTTACTGCCCTTGCCGGACTGCCACCTCCTCCCCCCCCCCCCCCCCCATTTCTTCCCCACTCTGCCGCAGCCGCGCGCCGCGCACCCTCGGCCGGGCACGGACGGACCGACTTGTCCCCAGCTACGCATTGTTGCAGTCGCCACTCGCGCGTCGTCCGCCCGCTCGTCCACACGCCTGGGCTGCTCGTGCTCCTGTCCAGTTGTACGTACGTACTGAGGAGCTTCCACAGCGTTCCACAGACTTCTCTCGTCTACCTACCTTTCTAGGGTAAGTCCTTTGCTGCCTGCATTGGTGCAACCTGTCGATATACCGCGGAACCTAGGAACCGATTGGCGAGGCGAAGTATCGCGTAATAGGCTTCACAGCATTTTGCAAAATCTTTCCCCTGGGCCGCTTAGCACCGACGTGCAGCTCATAGGACTCCGGTGCTTGGCTCGACCGGAAGTGCAAGTTGAAACCTGATAGGGAGGCGAGGCAGAGGTGCTCACGCTTTGTGTTTTCCCGGTAGACCCCGGGGTCTGCTGGCCAGCCCAGGGGTCTCCTGGTTTGCCGCATTACGGTCAAGCTGATGAGAAGAAAAATACGGGGAACAACGAAACGGAAATCCCGTTGCTTGAATACGCGGACTTTCGTTGCTTGTCCCCTGCGTCCTTCTGGATAGGGTACTCCGGTACTCGACTAGACCGGAAGGAGAAGAAGAAAAATCGTCAGGCTGGGCGGGCGCGGAGAGGAGCGGGGTACTGCCCCACCCTGCGCTGAGAGGAGCGGGGTACTGCCCCACCCTGCGCCGCTCCTCCCCGCACCCGACGATTTTTGTTCTTCTCCTTCCGGTCTAGCCGAGCCCCGGAGTACCCTATTTCAGCTTCATCGGAGCTTGTGCGCTTATTGGCTGAATGACACACCGACGTCATCGTCGACCAATCCGAGTTCAGAGAGCGGTGGTGGGGACGGGCGCGCGGAGGAGCGGGGGTTGGAAGGTAGCCTCCCCGCCCGCCCCCACCACCGCTCTCTGTATCCGTTTTTGATCGTCTTAGTCCCGGGCAGTGCTTCATTGAAATACCCTATAGGGTACTCCTGGGCTCGGCTAGACCAGAAGGAGAAGAACAAAAATCAGAGGAGCGGGGCAGGGTGGGGGCAGTACCCCGCTACTCCCCGAAAATTCACTTTTTCCTTCTAAAGACAAAACAGAACATTTCTAAGGATGACACTAGTAATAGAGACCCATAAAAACATCACTCTGTTGACGGTGCTACAGAAACAAATAATTGAAACTTCAAACTTCAAAATTTTGTTAGGGTAATGTTCTCCATAGCACCGAGAACCGCGCGAAAATTAAACCGTGAACCCTGTGCCTCAGGTGCGCTACTGTGTTTTATTAATCTTTGTTGTAATATATATTTTGAAAGGTGAAAAGTGTCTACACAATTCTGGGAAAATGATGAGAAAATTTAGTAATATTTCTGTTTTTTAGCCCGCCCTTCTGCTTTTAAAAAAGCATTAAAGCGGGCTTATGCAACCGCTCTCGTGTCCGTCCGTCCGTCCGTCCGTCCGTC